TTTAAAAAAATTCTTTTTTTAGTATTTAAATTTGTTAAATTACAATTTAAATATACTCTTACATGTTTAAGTCATTACTTTTAGTACTAGACATTCTATCTAAATTTTTTGCTTACCATAATTAATTCACATATTTACTTGAATATGTCTTACGAACTTTTTTAGGCGAACTTACCTGTAATGAATTACTTTACCTTTCTTTTTCTTTTTTTTTTACTCAAAACCTTGCAGGTTTATGTTAATCTTCATTTAATTAAATCCTGATAAAATTTTCTTTTTTTTTTTTAATTAAATTAAAGAAACAAAAATAAAATATAATAAATGAAAGGTCGGAATTCAATTGGTCATTGAAAAAAAATAAAAAAATTCTAATTAAAAATTTACCTTTTTAGTTGCCGTATTATTAATTTTTGTTTGCTTCCTATTTTTCACTATAATTATCTCAATTATCATTAGAATCATTTGTTGATTTGCTCTCGAATGGTTGGAATGATTAATTAATTAATTAAATTAGAGAAACAAATATATGAAAAGAAAAAATACAATTTTCCTTCTTTTTTTTTTTCTTCCCTTAAAATAAACAAATTGATAAAGAACAGACAAAATATCCATACAATTTTTAGATCTTAATCAATAACAATATTGATAATGAATGAATAATTGTTAGGATGATGTCAGCATTTCTTATCACAAAGTATGAATTTGATAAATATGCTCTCTGATCTTTGAAATGATTAATTATTGTCGTGTTATTATTATATTATTAAGTAATAAATAATACTATCATTTGGTGTTAAATAATAAATAGTACTATCATTTGATTTTAAGTAATAAATAGTAATAGTACTGTCATTTGGTGTTAATAAATAGTACTATCATTTGATTTTAAGTAATAAATAGTAATAGTACTGTCATTTGGTGTTAATAAATAGTACTATCATTTGATTTTAAGTAATAAATAGTAATAGTACTGTCATTTGGTGTTAATAAATAGTACTATCATTTGATTTTAAGTTAATAAATAGTAATAGTACTGTC